TTGCTTCCTCTACAACTTCTTTTTTAGACTTTAACATTTAGGTACGAAAATTTAAATTAAATTTAAAATAATTAATATTCTTTTTTCCTATACATTATTAAAATTATAAATATTTATATATAGTAAATTTATGTAGTAAGTAATGTATGTTTATTTTCTGCTGCTGCCCATAAGATGCTCGCATGTGGTGTGTGTGTGAGGTGGTGGTGGAAGTACGACGGGCTTATGGCGCCTAAAACTATATATCTAACACTGCATCGTCCGGTGTGCCGCGATGGATCAACAGCTTGATGCGCTCATTGCGTGCAGTTATTTTTGAATGAAGATTCTTAACACGCTCCCGACATGCCTAAATACATATGCACCAAACACACACACATATATATATATGGGAGGAGACATATGGCGGAGACACATGGACGCGCACAGTGAGCGAGCGAGTGAGACACGCACAGGCATACATACGAAGAGAGAGATAGAGAGAGGAACGTGGGGGTGGTGGTGGAGATGAGTTTACACGCAGTAGCGCGTGAGTGAGACAGAGTAACCCATTTACCATTTAGCAGAGGAGGAAGAAGGCAATTATTTGTTTAGACAATAAGCATTTTTTTTGTTGTTTTTAGGTGTAGTGGCATGAGTTAAAAGCAATAAGCGGAGAGCAGTTATGGAATTAACATTTTAGATGTTTTTTTTTTTTTTGGTTTTGTTTTGTTGGATGACAATGAGTTAGTGAAAGCACGCAGTAGATTAGGACAGCGGTAGGTGTGTATAGCACCAAGCCGGTAAGCGTCAGTTAAGTATATGAATTAATGGTTAGTTTTAAAAAAATTTTTTCGATGCAATATTTGGCATTTTTGTGGAATTTTTTTTTTCAAAATTTTTTTTAGCATTTTGTTAAAAATTTTATTAATAGCATTTAAAATATATTTGCGTGTGTGTGTGTGCGTGTTTTTGTAGAAAATTTGTTAATTTTTTTTTTGTTAATTAAGTACCATTACCGTCGCAATTTTTGTTTACCATTTTTTTCGATCGTAGCAAATTTCAGTAAGCAACAACACCATTTGTTTTATATGTTTTTTATGTTTTATTTTTGTTGTTGTTTTTTAGTTTATATGTTTATGTACGTTTTAGATATGTATACGTTCCAAATGTAACATATTTTTTTATTTTTTTTTTTTTTTGTTTTGTTACAAAATGAGAATGTAAATAAAAGAAAAAAAGAAATACGAAATGTCAAATAATGTCGAAAATTATAAACTAACCATTTTTTTATATGTATAAGAATAAAAATAGGCATAAATATGTAATAATTAAAGAAAACTATATGAAGCGTAAAAGAGGAAGTTAAAATAATTTAATTTAATTATATGTGTGTATGAAAGAGAGAGAGAGAGAGAGAGAGTGAGAGCAAGTTTTTTTCTCGTTTTCAACCAAACCCAATCGTGAGTGCAGATGCATAAGAAAACCCAAATTCCATAAAAATAATAATATTCATTAATTTCAAAATTTGTATTTCATTAGACAAAATCAAGCTGTAAGGAACTACTACCGCTTATATTTATAATACAAAGTACCAGAAAATAATTGTTATTTTTTTTACTACGCAACCACTTTTTAAAGTTCCAAGCAAAAAAATGAGGCAGGTATGTATGTGAAATGAATGAAAAATTTCTCAAAAAAAAAAGTGAATGGATAATTGAATAAGTAAATGTATGTATGTATGGCTCAATGAAAAATGTATGGGTGCGTGAAAAACTTGCAATACTGATGATGTCAATGCAACACTGTGTTTGTAGCAAATTTATGCAGTTGTAGGTGCTTTAACGACAATATTTCAATCAGTGTCGGCCAAAAAGTGGCACGAGTGTAGGGCTTTTAAACACTTGTTCGAGCTTTTTTAAGCTTTGTTAAGCTTTTATAGCTTTTTTTTTTATTTTTTCACAACTTTTATGCGGGGCGCTTTTAAAAGCTCCTTCGAACTTTTTTGGAGCTTTTAAAAGCTCTTTCGAGTTTGTTTTAGCTTTGTTTCAGCTTTCTGTGCGCTAAGGATAAAAGGCGTTTTCAGGGCATCACCAGTTTCAATCAATAAGATCTCTTATTATCTGCCTGTCTGTTTAAAATATATATAAAAAAAAAGATCAACAAAGCTCTGTACTCGTGCCGCTAAAGTGGCCAACACTGATCTAAACGCAAGAGAGTCTAAATAAATGAGCAGCGTGGTATTTTTGGTGGTTACCAATAGAAATATTTAAACACGAAGTAGCAACAAAAAATTGTGAAGTTATACGTTGCTTTGAAAAATTAAGTTTCGAAAAGCTTCTAAAAAATAATAAGTGCTTTTGATAATTTTATACAGATTTTTAATTAGAAGCAGTTTTTTCCAATTTAGCTTAACTTAATTTTCATTCCTGTCACATATTTCATTTTTTAATCTTTTGGAATTTTTAATATTTTCTACACTATTATATAGTGATTCATATTTTTTTCAACTGTGCTCTGACGAGTAAAAATCCAAAAACAATAAACTAAAAAATTTTTAAATTTTACACACAACTAGTGCGTAAATAATTATTTTGCTATGCTTAATGCGCGCGACTTCAAGGTGAACACACACATTCTCACATATAAATAGGTACATGTGTGCGCACACATTCGATGTGTTACTGCGAGACAAGCGGCTAAAAATACGCGCTATGACGGCAGTCATGTAGGCATTTTCATCCGCTTAGCAAATTTTCGGTGAAATTTTCTTTAAATACACCAATTTTTACATACAAATATTTATGTACATACATATGTATGTTTGTATGTATTTGCTGCTCATCTACAAAAATTTTAAGCGTAATATATTGGTGCCACGTGTTTGCTACGTAATATTTATTTATATTTTTAGGTTCACGTGGTTCACATTTTATAATAAAATTTACAAAAAAAAATACAATATGTAAAAAATTTGCAATTGATTGCCTTGAAAATTGAAAAAACAACGTTTTCGCTTTGAATAAAAAACTTTATATAAAATTTTTCTGTAAAACTTGGTTAACTTTTTTTGCAAAAATTTTCTTGTGCAAGAAATCAAAATTGTTTCTGCAAAGTTTTTGAGGTTTTTCTTTAGTGTTTTTTAATTATTCTGAAATAGTTTTTAGATATTTCTGCAAGTTTTTTTTTAATTTTTCTGCGAAGTTTACTAAATAAAACATTTTTTTTTACAATTTTTTATTTTTATTTTTTAATATTTTTGAAAATTTATTTTCTTGTATAAAAATTAGCAATTTTTTTATGGCAAAAAATATATTTTAAGCCCTTCTATCTGCATGAATTTGTGTCGTTTGCAGCAATGAAATTGCAGAAAATGCTTTGGCGAGCTTTTAAATGGGCTAGATTTGTTGAAAGAGTGGCAGTAGTGAAAAAGCTTTCTTAGGTGTAGCTTTTCTGAATGTATGGCTGTGAAAAAAATGCTGGCAAATTCTAACAAACAAATTTTAAAGAGTAAAAACAGTTTCTAACACTTTACAACGGAAAGCTCAAAAAAGCTTCATAAAGTCAATTTTTAGAAAATTTAAATTTTAGTTTAGAAACATTGCTTTTAAAAGTCTGAGAAAAGCCCATTACCTACTTACTGGTAGCAACAAATCTAAAGCAACGAAGGCTTTAAAAAAAGCTCGTCATAGTTTTCTACAATTTTCGCGTACCAAAACAGGACTGATGAACCAATGGGGAAGATGAATGTATGGACAAAGTGATGTATGAACAAAATGTTGCTGCACGGTGTTAAAATACAAATGAATAGTGGCATGGCAACAAATACACTCAATCAGAAGAAACAAAAAACCAAAAAAAAAAACAATGAATAATCCATAAAATGACGCAGGGAATGATGACTGACGTGCAGATGCAATCTGCTTATGATTTCAATGTGTGCAATAAATGTAAAAACTAAAGAAAAAAAATCAAATAATAAAAAACTGAAGATACTCAAAAACATTAAAATAAGCAAAAACTTAACGAAATTTTAAAAAATTTAAAAAAATATGTATTAAAGAAAAAAAATAAAATTATACTAAAATATCAATTTAAAAAGATTAAAAAATTAAAAAAAACAAAAAAATAATAAACTTTAAAAAAGATCAAATAAGAAAATAAAAAATAAACCCTTTCTGTAACACAAAAATTATTTAAAATTGTTTTTTGAAGTTAAAAAAAATTTAAAAAAAAATTAAAAAGGAAACTCGAAAAATTCTAAAAAATAAAATGCTAATCAAATAAAACAAATACAAACTCAAAACGAGGTATTTGTATACCACAAAAATATATATTGTTTGTATTGCCAATTTCAAAAAACTTCACAGCCACCGTGCAACTTCTTTAGCGTAGCAGAGAATTTTGCCACTCAGCGATTTCGTAGACAAAAAAAAAATATATAGAAAAATAAATTAATAAAAACTATTGAGCTTACTATTTAAAGTAAAAAAAAATAATTAAAAATAATAAATAACAATGCTGCTAGAGGTTACTTAAAAAGAGAGGGTTCTTTGGGGTAGGGTTGCGGGGGTGCGTGTGTTAGTCAAATTACAAATTCTTTAACATTTGCTAACAAAGAGTCGGTCGGTTATTGAATATAAACAGCACCAAATGTTTTGCGATAATGAATTCAATGTCAATGAATAAACTGTGCCTTCTTTTCACTTATAAGAATGTGAAAGAGAAGTAGAGAGAACAGAGAGAGCACAGCAAATACCTAACATAAAAGGGGGATTTCTAAAAAAACTTTCCTAAAGTTTTTAAACTGCCAACTGTCAGACAACAACAACAACTATTTGTGTGTCCTAATAACAGAAGAGCTTAACAACTCACTGCCTCACAGCTGCTAATAACTGCTTACATATACATATATGAAAGTTTATACTAAAATAACTGGTAATAAGTATTCGAAAATAACTACATATGTATCTAATGTATGCACTTATGTAACTAACAACCTGCCTGTTACGTTTACATACCTGTTGCTCTGCTAATGCACGCTCACGATCGTGTGGCAGATACGTGGGCGCCATTACGAGCCGCAATTGTTGTTCCTCTTGTATGATCTTTTGACGCAATGTTTGCATCTGTTGCTGATAGATATCGATCTGATTGAGCGTCTCTTCGAGACTAGTGGTTTTGGTGCGTACCAATTCCGCCAGTCCGTCCAAGATTTTCAATAGATCATCGACATTTTCGCTTAGGCGCGGATCGCCACCCATACCATTGCGGAAGTGCACCTGCGGATAGTGTGACAGAAGAAGAGAGACAGAGAAAAGGGGAGAGAAAGAGAAAAAAAGACAAAAAATGCGCTTATTAATTTTTGTGATTCCTAGCTCTTAAGTTAAAAGTAAATTTCTACAGCAATTTTGAAGTTAGCGAAGAGCGAATAAAAATCAAGCAACACTCACCTCCAATTTTTCGATAGAAAGGCGTAATTTGGTCTTCTGTACATTAATATCCGCCAGCGTTTTCTCGCAGTAGCCCAATTGATCGCGCAGCGGTTTCTTCTTGTGCTGTGGCGAATCCAATGCTTGCTTCGTTTTGTCTATCCAGCTGCGTATGTCCTTGATTTTGCGTTCACATTGATCCCATTCTTCGCAGGCTTCTTGTAGTAGGGAATTCTGTATATTTGGGAGAGGGGAAGGACAAAATCGGAATTATTTAAAAGTAAAGTTTTTTGGTGCGAAACGAAGCATTTTCCGAAACTGAAGTTTCGCGATCGTTGGAGGCGCAACTCGCAGCAGAAAGATAGCAAAGTACCATTCAAAATTAAAAAAAAATATATATATTTAAAATAAAAAATTAGAAATTGCGCCATGATTTTGTCATACAAACTTTGATTAGCAGGGTTTAATTCGGAGTTTAATATAAATAATTTGTTTTTAAAATTTTTATAATTTTTTCGATAAAATAATTTTTTTTTTTTATGAATTCCTTGATTGTTTGATCTGATGTGATTGATTTTTGAAAACTCGATTAATTTAATAACACATAATCGATACATAAACATTTTTTCGATAAACTTTTACTGATAATTAAAATTGTTCGATTAAGGTTGGTCAATATTTTAAAATTTTTACAAACCTATACAAAGAATAATGTTAAAAAAGAAGTAAGAATCGATGTGTCGATTTCAGCTGACGTCGGTATAGTGATTGAAAACATCTGAATTAAGAACACAATTTGATCAAAAGAGTGAAAAATTCGAATACTTGCAATTTAAAATAAAAAGTTTTTCCAGTTCAATGATTTTTCACTTTCAAGTTATTTTGCTCATATCTGGCATTTTCAACCATATTTGGCCGATTCAGAATATATTGGTCAACAAACTTAAGATATCGATTTATCGATCGCTTAATATATCGATATATATATATTTGCTGAGTAGTGAGATAATCGAAATAAGAATTTGATAAGGCCGATTTTTAAGTTCAATGTTCCTTTTAAAAAAAAATGTTCTTTAAATGCTTTTAAAAATTTAAATAATCGATAAAAAATCGTAATTAACAAATTTATTTTTTATCAATTTTTTTGTTTGTCCAATCGTAGGTTATCGATATTTTAGTCTATTATTCTTTTGATATATTTTTCAATCCTGATCTGATTTATAGCTATATCGGTTGGTAGTTGAATAAATTAGAATTCAAAATTTGATTCATGAATTTTTTACCAAAAATGTTCGATATACATACATACATATACATATATGTATACATATACATATGTATGTGTATGTATTGATCGAAAAATAAAAAGCCACGATATTAGTCAATCAAAATAATGACCGTCAACTGAAAGCATGAAAATTATATGTAACAAAAAATTTAAAATTTGTAATTAAAAAAAATCGTAATGCATTTTGCTTTGTACGTTACCAATTTTTTAATCTGTCGAAAATTTACTTTTGAAGAAAATTAAAAAAATATATATTTGATAGCAGAAATAAAATTAAAAATATTTTTTATTAGCGATTACTTTTTTGTAAAATTTTTATCTTTTTTTGCGTTTTTTCGACATATCTGATATTTTTCAGACTAACGTCTTTTATTAAATTTTCTTCCTCTACCACCTACCCTTTCCAGCAGCACCGCTTCCACGGAAACCTTGGCATCCTCAGCCTCTTGCAATTTATCCTTGAGATCACCCACAGTTGTCACTTGTCCAATATGTTCCAATTCCTTATCCATTTCGCTCAAATGCTTCACAATCGGTTTAATACTCTTCACAGCCGCTGCATAGTCGTTGAGTTTGTTACGCGCCTCGGGCAGTGTACGCAATTCGATTGTCTGATCGAGGAAGGTGCGCTTCTCGGCCACCCACGCCATCACAATTTGATACAAATTCATAAATCTCGTCCATGCATCCAAACTATCACCGACTTGTTGCTTCTTCTCATCCAACCATGAGCGTACTTGTCCCAATTCTTGTGCCAATTGATCGATCGTCGATTGTACGAGCAGTTTCTCATTACTATTCCGACAATTGTCGATAATCAGTTGTCCATTTGTCTTAACCATTGTGAAACGCTCATAAATGCCGGTGATTTCCTGATTGATACAATGCAACAATTCCTTCATTTGCGCTGGCGCGAGTGTACGATCTTGCACTTGCACTTCCGCTTGACGCAGCCATCTTTGGATTTCATCCACGCCGCTCAGATATTCGGTGCGTACAGTCTTGGCTCGCTTGAATTCCTTTTGTTTCGTTTCCATGGCGCCCTGTACACGCTCGGAGAGCAACTCTAATGCTGTAAACTCCTGTGCAATATCACTTGGTACCAAATTTTGTTTGCTCAGATAGTGTTCCTTGGTGTTGGCGATCAGTTGGGTGCTGGCCTCAACTGTCTTACCAACTTGTTGTTGCAAATTGTTGAGCGACTTTTCAATGGCTTCGATATGTTCGTCGTAGGCGTGCACTTCTTGTATCTGCTCGAGTAGAGCGTTGAATTTATCTTGCAGCTCCGAGATGCTATGGAAGACCTGTTCGATCTCCTCGAGATCCTTGCCAACCTGACGATCCTTTTCGCGTAGGGTGTCGTTTAATCTGCGAAAAAGAGAGAAAGAGAGGAAAAAACGGAGAGACAAATCGTGGATATATTAGAATGCTGTTAAGAAAATTTGAGTGATTTAAGGGCTTATTTGATATATGTAAATGCCGTCGTTGAAACACGCAAAATTTATGTGCAAAGACCACGCGGTCAGCCACTCGGAAATTGCGTTCCAAATTTTAATGAAAATGCTGCCAAAAGTTAATACGAATTGCGAACACAAAACACTTGGAATTTTCTTGTGCTGCTTTTAACAAAGAAAATTTATAGTTCAAAAAATGCTAAGATTTGCGTTTTTCTGCCTTAACAGAAAAAACGTGCACGTATTTTTAAACAATTGCGACAATCGAACACTTGACGAAAAAGTTTATTCTTTTTTTTTTTGTTTGTTTTTATCTTTGTAGTTTTTGGGATTAAAAAATGCGTCAAAGGTTTCCGTGGAAGAAATGCGACCGCGCTAGTAAAAGAGAACTCTCCAAATGAACGAGGCAAAAATGCCAGCCGCTTGGCAAAGGCAGCCATATCCGCCGACAAAACATACATACATACATATGTACGTCCACTACTCTGCACTGTAGAAAAACGCCAACAGATTCGAAAACGTTTTCGAAAATGGTCGCAAAAGAATTATGTGCACAGAGTGCGGTTTGCATGGCTGAGTGGACGCTGTCGATTGTTCGTTTGCTCGCCACAAAATTAATGTGCGCTCTTGCCCAGATGGCTGCTGCCAGAAAGGAAAACCTTGAAGTCGAAATAGGCTGTTTAGCTGCGAGATTTCATTGATCTCACTTACATATTTATTTACATATGTATGTATGTATGTAGATGCAATTTTTATATTGTGGAAATTTGCAGAGACGCAGTACAATCACATCTCCGTGCATTCGCCGATATTTGTGAAAGAAAATTTAATTACATTGCAGCAAAAGTAGCAAATCAGGGAAAATAAACAAATAAATGAGTAAATAACAAAAGCATGAGCCAACGCTTGCAGAGGGAGACTGTAAAGAGGCTGAATGGGAGAGAGTAATAAAAAGTGTTTGGCGATCGTGATAATGCCGGTTTTTGGCTTTTTGCGCTGTCTGGCTGAATTGACTGCCACAGGCAAAAATTTTACTTATTGTTGTTTTTTTTTTTTCGGCGCCAGGAAGGCAGTTGATTCCCAGTGCCGCATACGAACAAATATAAGAAAATATGCCAGCCGGCAAAATGGGAGAAAACGAAGCGTTCAGAGCGAGGCCTTTAGCACGAAAAAAAATTACATTGAAGGTGGCACAACGCCGCAACCGAAACAAAATTTTAGTTCACAAAAATCTCGAAAAATACCAAAAAATTATACGAAAAATCTCGAAACGTAACGAATAATAAAAAGGTTACATAAAACCAGTTTCCAAAAAGAAATTCGAAAAACATAATTTGAAGAACTTCGAAAATCATGAAAAATAGTAAAAATAAAATTTAAAAAAAAACTTCTTAAAAATATTTTTTAAAGATACCAACAATTATATGAAAAATCCCTATCAAAAAAATAAAAACAGTTTCAAAAAAACTACAATTTAAAAAAAAGCCAAAATATCAATAAAACTATTTGCGAAAAATATTGAAAAGTTATGAAAAAGCAAACTAGGTTCCTTAAACAGCCCCAAAGTTCTTCAATAACAAAAAACGGTACCGAAATGTAAAACCTAAAAATTCCGAAAAGAACCAACACAAAAAAAAAACAAACGTAGCGAGTGTTTCGAAAAAATATTATCGACTCAAGTTTTAAAAATAGAATGCCAGAATATCAAAAAAAAAACAAAAACTACATATGCGGAAAAGTCCCATAGTCATGATGAAGCAAACAAGGTTTCGAAAACAGCCCCAAAGTTTTTCAAAAAAAAAAGCTCCCGGAAAGTAAAGACCAAAAAACCCGAAAAGTCTTGAAAATACGCGGAGATTATCGAAAAAAATATTACAGATTACCTTTTCTTTTTCTGAACTGTTTAGTATTTAGAAATTAACTAAATACCATAGTACTTTAGTATTTAGTACCCTCAAGCACTTAAATACTGAAGTATTTGTTCAGGCAGCTTCTACAATTCACTGTCTGATTTACTATTTTTCCACTCTTAATATCTCAATTCTATTTACTTAAGTATTTAGCAATTCGTAAATACGTAGGAGTTTCTATTATTATTTAGGCATCTCTCTTCTATCCGTATTTTTCCGACTGGGATACTTAGATATGCATACATTTTTATATATATTTGTATGTACATATATATGCAGTAATTGTTGACTTTAAATCGAATGCCCAATTTTTGCAGCTGTCACGTATATGTATATGAAAAATTTGAAAATATTAATTTGAACAAATGGGGAATTTAAGAAAAAAAATAAAAATAACAAAACAGCGAGGAAAATAATTTCCGGTGATTAATGACAAGAACGCTTGGCTTTGATTTATTTAAATTTTTTGTTTAATATTTTTGCCTTTTTATTTTTATTTACTCTCCACTTTTTGTAAATTTTTACCTTTTCATTTCTAATTTTTTTAATTATCTTCCTTCTTTTACTAAATTCAATTTTTTTTTTATATTTTTTTCATTTTTCTTTTTCTTTTCCTAACTTTTTACGGTAGCTTTTCATAGTTCATTTTCCTTTCTTAAATGAGAATTTTTTTTTTTGTAAATTTTGTTGTTTTCAGAATTTTTTTTCCTAAAATACAAAATTGTATTCAATGCCTTCGCCTTCTACTTATCTTTTTTACTCTATTTTCATGTAATTTTCTTTCCGTTTTTTAAGTTCATTATTTTTATTATTTGCCTAAATTTTTTGTTTCCATTTTTTTATTATTCTACTTTTTCCCAAAATTTTAAGAATTTCTTTCAATACCCTCCGTTTTGTTTCATAATTTTTTCACCCTTTCATGAAAATTGGTACATGTTGCTATGTTAACGCGAATTGCTTTTGTTTGCAGATTATTTGTTGTGATTCCTCATTCCTTTGTTATTTATTTATTTATTTCTTTTATTTTTTTTTATTTTAAGTTTTATTTTTAAATTTTCACCCACTTCTGCTGCTTGGCAGACAAGTTGACGTCATCAGCGCGCAGCGCACCACACCCAGGTCACTCATACGCCACGTAGTACATACAGGAATGTACGAGTTTACATACATACATTTATACAAAATTTAAGAATAACAGATGCAAGGAAAGTGCAGCGGATACAAATGTACATATGTACCTGTGTATGTAAATTTAGCAAATGTTTTTTCAATTAAATACTTTTAGATAATTTCAGTGGTTTCAAGTTANTGTATGTTACCGCATAACTTTGGACCACGTCAACCGATTTTGCATCGGAAAGGTAGTGTCTCAGAGGTGGTCCCATACTAATCTGGTTAAGATCCGATCAGCGGATCATGAGATATATATATATATATTTTTTTTATATGGGAGTTGAAGTCGGTTTTTTTTTTGCTAAAAATTACTAGTTAGTCGTAGTGACTTCACGTGACGAAAAATTTTAAGAGCAAAATTTAAAAAAAAATAATAAAATATTAAAAAAATTTAAGAAAGGTTTTGGAAAAAATCAATAAATGAATATTAAAATCCGGCTGCCCTTTGTCAGAGAAAATTTTAGGAATATAGTATATTTACTTACAAGCATAAGTGCTTAAATATTTTGATACTTTTTTTTTGTGCTGTGCCTTTATACTACATATCTGTGTTCATATGGAATAGTAGCTAATGTCGATAGGCTGGCTTTAGTATAATGCGGCATTTACATTGCGAATGATTCAACCGAGCCGTTAAAGAACTTTTCGCAAATAAACGTACAAGAAATAGTTCCGATACTAACAAATGAATATTCTTTTTAAGTCTCATCAAAAAATTCCTTGTCGTTTAAAGGATTTTAAGGAAATGCCGCATTATACTAAATCCAGCTTCTCGACATAAGCTACTATTCCATGCGAAGACAGATATGATTTTTCGTGATTTTCAATGTCATCAGTAAAATAGTTTGGATTTTTATTTTTTGATTTTTTATAAACAAACCTCATAAAAAGTTCAGAAAAAAAAGTAATCCTTTACTTTACGTATAGACTGAGTGGCAGGCGCACATGCCAAAATACCGGCGTCGCCTGTCGCCGGAGATGACGTGCTGCTACTACACACATACATAAACAAAATCTCACAAAGAGCTCACGTACATATATTATACTCCAATGTAGACAAAAGAAATGAAATGTTACGTATGTAAAAATGTATGTATGTATGTGTGTAAGTACAGTCAAAAAAACATAGCCAACATGTTGCTTTTGCGGCTTTTCATAGCGTATTGCGTTTTTGGCTGCGTGCTAACGACAAAAAAAATTAAAAAAATAAAACAAAAAAATAAAATAAAAATAAAAATAAAAATAAAAATAAAAGAAAAACCTAAAACAAAACATAAATTTAAACGAACACACACAGTTCCTGATTAAAGTAGATTACATACATATGTACAAGCTTATTTATAATATTTAAAAATCGCATAAATGCAAAACTTTAAAAAAAATTTAACAAAGTATAACAATGTCAAAACATACTTAAAAATAATGCATAGCTAGAAAATAAATTCGGCGTAATTTTTTCATAGATGCCGAAATGAATTCATTTGCAACTTTTTGTGTTTAATTTGTTTTCTTCTTCACTGTGCTTTTACTATTTTATTTATTTAATAAATTTATGTATATACATACACATATTTATTTAGCTGTACCGGTTCCTTAACTGCAAAAGTGGGCTACTATTTACTAAAGTTCGTCTGATTTCTTATAAGGTTTTTATATGTATTTAATGTTCGAGCATTTTCTATGAAGAGACTAACTAATTGTTCCTCTTTACACCCGAACGGACATTAAAAGCTACTAGTGACTAGTGACTAGCTGAGTTCAAGTTTTCTAGGTCAACACTCTGTCTCCTCTGCCAGTAAATTTCGTTGCTGTCAGAGCTGAGTTTGGGACAACAACAAGGTTCATTAGTGATAAATTAGCGAATAGCCACCAAGTCATTATTCATAAATTAATAACCGGCAAATAACTAAAAAGGGAATCAAACAAATGCTGCTTGGTTATTGAACTATCCGTTCTGATAGGAGTTCTTACATTACTGTCCTTAAGGAGTCCATACGATGCGACTTAATATCGAAAATGGCAATTTGTTGATTCGAGAAGGAAAACTAATGTGGATTTCCTACGAGTCTGGAATATGAAAAACATCACTTCTCACAACACACTCGACCCTTGTGACTTGTTTGCAATTTGTTTTTTCAGAGGCTCTATGAAAAACATGGTTTATCAACACCCATTCTTCCCTCAACTTCTTTATCACCCATTACAGGATTCTCTGAATACATAATACCAAATTTCCACTAGACACTTAATGACAAAAATTTTAATAGCAAATTTAATAGCAAAAAAAAAATGTCCTTGTCATTGCATGTCATTAAAATAGGTAGCCATTAAGCCTACATGAAATTTTTTAAATGGCACTGGATGTTTACTCATTTCAGTGCCTAGTGAAAATCGGTATGTATATATATATTAGGACGCAGTAACTTGTTCGGATCAAAATTTTTCGAAGAAAGTGTGTAGCAAATTCAAATTCTTCGATTGGTCAATAAACTATATACCAAAAATTATGTTTGATCCTTCCGTTTTTCAAAAGAAAAAGCAGTCTATTGTAACTTTGTTGGTCGAACTTTATTTTCATTGTACCAAAAAACTTTAAATTTTCTCTGTTTTGTGAAGTAGTTTCTTAAATATGAAAAAAAAAAAAAAATTTTCTAAATCCAAAATTAATTTCGTTCAAAAAACAAAAACAACAAATACACTGATTTCATTTTTGGTATATAGTTTGTTCACCATTTTTGCTTAGAATCGCACGTAGAATGCGAAAATGTCATACACTTTTTTCGAAATTAAATTACTACGCCCTAATGCACATATATACATGTACTTAGGTATGCATAAACAAATATTCGACATTAATCTAAATATGCCATTAAATATTTTCAGGTGTGCAAATTTAGATATTTGTTTATTTGAGTGTGCATATATAATTTATTTCTTTGTTGAATCAGCTGAAATTTTATTCATACTTTTAGCCATGTTTACGCCGAGGCTTTAGACACGCCACATATTCTGTTTGAAGGAAAAAAGTAAAAATTCTTCGTTAATGACGTTTTTACTGCGCTGTTGAAATTTCAGGCAAAAGCTTCTAAAATAAATCTCGGTGTAACCGCTTTTTACAATGGCAAAACCTTTCATGTTTTTTCGCAAGTCGCTCATGGCTCTAAAATCTCAAATTTCAACATATAACCTACTCTGCAAATTTCAATGTTCAACAAAAAAACAAAACCTCTGACTAATCGCTTGCATTCCTGCCATTTCCGGCATTCGCAAAAAACACCTAACAAAAATTTAAAAACGCGATAAACAAAAATGATATGCAGCAGCGCCGTTCTGGTATAACACGAAAAACTAGAAATTCTAGAAAAACCTACATATGTACATTTGCAAGGCTTTTAACCATGCCAACAGCAACAATAAAGGCAAAAAAAACTAATTTTTTTTTAGAAATTTAAATTTGCGATAAACTGGCTTTCGCACAGCTGTCAAAGTGCTCTTGAGTCCATAAAGTCAGCGGCCAACGAACGAGTCCAATGCGCTGACCACCGGCTGACCTCGCGCAACGTTTTGTTTCTTTTTTTTAGTTTTTATTTTTTTGTTTTCTTGGGGTCTTTAGTTTTAAATCTTTTAAAGCTGAACTTTCTAGTAACTTTTTTTTTCTTACTCAAAAATTTTTTTGCTAATTTACAGTTCAAGCGCGTGCAAATTATGCGGCTTGCGTTTTTTTTTTTTTATTGTTGCTAATGAGTAGAGCAGCAGACGGAAGACAGCGGTTTTTATTATATACTTTTTTTTTAGTTTTTTAAGCTTTTTTTTTTTTTGTTATTTTCGTATGCATAAACAACAAAACGATGACTTAATCGCTGTGCTGTCGCAGCCGGCGTTGTCAAGCCAGTGTTCACGCGTTGCTTCGAATGCGATGACAAAGTTTACGCGACCAAAAAAACAAGCAAACAATAAGCGAAGAACGGTTACAACAGCAGCAGTTTTTAGACTATCTTTTTGTTGTTTGTAGGTATCCCCTCCCTCGGCTGCTGCCTCACGCTCTATGTGTAACCACTTGCTTTGCTGATTACTTTTGTTACCCAGCTTGTTGCTTCGCAGCTTGAACTTATGTATATTTGCTATCCACTGCTAGCTTGCTAGCGTGCTACTCAAGCAGAGTATATCTAAAAACTCTTCTTTTTTTTTTGTTAATTTTCTGCCAACTTCGAGGCAGCAAAAAAACCGTTCTTGCTTTTCTTTCACTTGGAAACAAACCTCTTGCTTTTTTACGACAAATTCCTGTTAATGCTCGCTCGCAGCGCTTTTCTCTCTGTTAGTAGGCAACCGCAATAATTTCTTTAAGGCGAAATTTCTTCGTTGCCTGCTTTCTTTCGTTCTGTTGGTTTTCCTTGCTGCTCTGCTGCTGCTGCCTGTAGATCGTCCTTTTTTCGGTGGCGCTTCGCTTCTTCTTTTAAAGATTTTTTCACTACTAAAAACTAGTAGCAACTCAGTCTTTTGGCTCGTGAAAGTTGGATCTTCCTTGTTTGCGCGTGCAATCGCTTCGCTTTCTCGCTGCTTCTTAGCCTAGTCACGACTGACCCAACCTCCTCTGTAATGCTCCTTCTTTGTATGTGTTGCTGTTGGGAGGAGGCAGGCGTGTGCTTGCTTTTTGCTTGTTGAACTGCGTAGAAAATGCGCTCTGTTTTTTTTTTTTTTTTGATAATAAAATGCAGAGTTCTTTCTTCTTTTTGGTCTTTGGTTAAAAACTCCTTCAGGCTCACTTTGGTTTTGTAGCGTTTGAAGGTCGCGTTACTCATACGCCACGTGCCACCAAAGCGCTCCAGCGCGCACTTATAGTACAAACTGCTGTACAAGCAAATCCTTGAATGTGTGCGTAACCTCGCTGCACGTACGATCAGCCTTGCGAAATATGCAAGAAAAAAAGATTAAATTTTTTTTTTTATATTTAAATTTAGTTCTCTGCTTTGAAGAGCAAAAACAAATAAAAATAAAAACTTGCAATTTCGTTATACTTTTTTCTGGGTTACGCGCCGCCTGCAAAAATCTGCTTCTTTCGCTCGTTTGCGCTGCCTTGAATTTCGTTTTACTATTTCGTTTGAAATTCTTTCACTTTATAAGTATATTTTTAGTATAAAATTTTTTATTTTTTTGTAACTACAGCTTTTTTAGAATGTCTATTTTATTCTGCTGTGTATTTGTTTTTTATTTTTTATTTTATTCTTTCGCTCGTTTAACGCACGTTTTCTTTTATTTTTCTTTCTTTTTATACATATGTATGTATTTGTAATTCCTTTCGAAATTCCTTTCTCTTTCGCTTAAGCTGATGATGCTTCTTTATTATTTTCCAGCCATCCAGTAAATCACATCCGCTTTCCTCTAACGCTAAATTCCAACTGATTTTTATTGAAATTATTTTGGCAACCTCAGCGACGATATTCGTCATTCGATCGAGAACCGGCCAAGTGCAGCATATACATATGCGTATGTGTGTAGGTAAGTGTTGTGTAAAAGCGTGGTGATCTTGTCGCTTACTCGTTTTGTAGGCTATTTCGATCGCAGCACTAGCACTTTATTCACCACTCATTAAAAATGCTGCCGTGTCGCAGGTTTCTTTTATTTTTATTATTTTTTGCTTATTCTGGCTGTGCCATCATTTTCAAGTACTTGCCATTTTTCTATTATTTTTGTTATTGTTTTTATTTTTCTAGCACATTTTTAGCTAACAAATTTGCACATCAAAATTTGTTTTAATTGCTTTTGAGCGCATTTTTTTTTTTGCACTTGAGTCTTCTACTTATAAGTTACGAAAATCACGAAATTATGAATCAACATTTTTAACAGGGGAAATTTTCTTATACTTACATGTATGTACATACATACATACACCTCCCACTTGAGCTGCCTTTCGCGGTATACATTTAAACGCTTCATACACAGTAAAGTCATTTGATAAGCTCACCAGTATCTAACCGGCATAAAAAAGCCGGCTGTAAAGTCCATTAAGCACATGTACGCTTAAGTATTTATATGTATATGCATGTCTGAACGTGTGTTTGCATTTTTGCAAACTTGAAAGAGCGATAACAATGAACAATAAAAACTTACTTGCATACTTGTATAACGTTTTGAGTTGCTTGCATGGTGGAGAGAGCAGCAAGCAGGTATGGTGAAATTTAATCGAATGAGATATGTATATGTATGTATTTGTATACAGCAGGAGAATAGCTATATACTATAGAGTAGGCGAATTTAAGCAAAATCTAGAGCAATGGAAACGAAACGTTCATTTGATAAGGCCTTCTCTTTGTGTGAACAAAAAATGAGCGTACAGTTGTTAACATAACTATACGTACATAAATCTCCGCTCAGCTGCACATTGATCCTATACAATTTATGGACGATTTTCGACTGGGGTTTCATAACGACTGGAATTTCAAACAAAAATATTGAGAAGAGAAATCCTAACTACCATTTCATGTAAGTGAACTGGCTCATCTTAACAACAGGCATGCCACTACTCACCATAGTAGATTGAGTGTAACCCGATAAATAACTCAACTCTTCACATGCCTGGGTTCTGTTTTTGGGTTGTGTACTGCATTTGTCTTATCGTGACAAACAATTAAAGGAAACTGCTAAAGAAGAGAATTTTTGTATCGTTTGGAGAAAAAACACGCGCAATATAATAGATATTCCAAAACAAGGTTCAGGTAATTTTAATGATGGGAATACCCCTAGATGGGTTTTTGGGTTTTTGTTCAAATCGTAGCCTAGCATCTGAGATCACAGGGTTTGTTAAGAAAAGTTTCAAGTAGTAAAACAATTGCCTGCCACTGTATGTATGTACATAAAATACTTTTGCATAGGGCAAATGTTATGGAAAATTTTCATCTGCCCATTGGCCAGTAATCTGAAGAGGCAGCTGAATATAACAAAAAGGATTTAGGGAGATTCCTGCATCGTGCTTGGCCGAAATCCGAGTGGAGAGTGAATACTTTAGTAGTATCTGTAGAAATCTAGCCGCATTTGCGGCCGGGGCACGGACTCTGGAGGCCCCAACCTTTGCCAAAGTCCCTAGCGGCATAGACTGGGAGCAAATCTAGGAGGAGAGTGGGGAGCTAATGCCAATCTACTCTTCTTTAGCGTCGCAAGAGAACTAATCTCTTTTAGTGTATGTGGTTTGCGAAGCAGCTCACTGCCGAAGACCCTCCAATGACGGATTTGGTCCTCGTTCACAAACCCAGAAGAGCAGGAGAATGGGGAAGAATCGGGAAGCGAATCGCAAGCAGGGAAACCCTCTTGTGTTGTTGACCGAACTCCTGCTGTCGCTGCATGCAGTAAGCGGCCCAGGTCTACGAAGGTTACTCCAGAAGCCAGAGTGGGACCTTGGTGGATGCACCGGCATCCAAATCCGCTGGAGAAGAGAAGGAAAACTGCGGCGACAACGACCAATGCCACCTCCGGGGAAGACGGGCATTCTTGTGGAATGCTGCGAGAACCGGAACGTCGGGTTGATATTTTCTTGCGATGTTAATGCCCCATAATAATATCTGGAGCAGCAGCAAATGCAACGCATGGTAAAATCGGCGTTTCGAGTATATTCTTTCAAGTAGGCTGAGTATATTGAATGTTGGCTCTAAGCCAACATTTGTTACGCCCAGAAGGCAAGAAGTGATTGATCTTACCCTATCTAACTCTTGGTTAGGGTGATCAGTCGTAAACTGCGCAGTTCTGGGTGAATACTCGCTCTCGGACCACATTTTTAAAAATTCAACGGCTTTATTAACGCAATTTGCCTAGACTTAATTGTTTGTTTAAAGCGAGTGTAAACCCATTTCAACAACTTTTTTGTTCTGCTCCCCTTTTGGTTTATTTCTTTTTAATTGTTTGCTTGTTATTCCCAAAAAACGCCAGTTTTGCATAAAAAATTACGCCACCACTCAGCGCAATGACAACAAAATAAATATTAATAAATTTATAATTACGCGATTACCTCACTCGGCGTTCATTTTGGTTGGTTGGCAAGCAAAGCGCGCGACCGGCAGTCAGCAAGCCATTCATTTTTTTTTTTTAATAATCGCGCGCCTGTTTGTTAGTGTGAAATTTTTCATTCTCATCCATTCTTTTTTCGGGCAAAGATAAATTTGTATATAAATTTGAATATTTTAAAGTGTCGAAAAAGGCAAAAAATCACAGACACAAAAAAAATAAAAATATTATAAAATGCTAAATGGACGTGCAGAATAAAAGCGATAAAGTAAAAACAAATAAATATTCGCCATACAATTGACAATGTCGGCCGGCCGCGGCGCATCGATCAATTTGGCTGCTTACGTGCAACCGTAAATGTCAGCACAAAGTTGTAGCTGGCACCTAAAACAAGCAGTGCAAAATCATCAGACATATTTACACACATACGTACATGCATACATATGTACCCACACAAGTGTCAAGTGTGTACTGAATTTGGTTTCCATGGCATTTGAGATCAAGTGCATGCAAATGTTGGTAACCTGTTTGTGAATGGTCTGCGAATGTCTCTTTGTCTAGCTGGTGCGCTGTGCATACATCTGTAGCTTCCAGGCGCCGGAACAAGCGCTTGTCGCGCGATCTCTGGCCAACACAGATTTATTTAGTCGAATTTCACTTTGGCACTCACTCACTTTTGCAAGTGACCCGATTTGAAATTTTATATTTTTTTGTTTTTTATTTAGATTTTTTTTTTCTGCTTTGCTTTAAATAGCACGCGTACTCGCGCATCATGGCTGACTGCCACATATTTTGCATTTCTTTATTTTCATTTTGTACTAAATACATAAATACATATGGTCATACTTATCTACTTTTGCAGCGCATAAACTCACTCACTTGTATACATACAAAAATACATACACGTCCATGCATTTCGGCTAATTAGCGCCATTCTGTCACTAAATGCTGCTGTCACTTTGACCACCAAACAGCATGTGGCATATGTGTGTGCTCGCATTCCTTAATTTTTGTTTGGTAAATAATTTTAAATATTCCTTCACCCAAATATCTAAATTATCATTACGATGAAGTCATTTATTTGTTTACCATCACTGTAGTTGGGGTTCCATTACTTGACTTTATTTTGCTTCCTGCCTTGTCAATTGTATATAATATCGACATACTATATACATTAGACTGCATCACTCCCCTTACAACAAAAAAAAATCGGTACTGTATTTCCAGTGAAATTATAAAATCTATTATATTTTAAGATGGCCACCAAAATATTTCGGAAAATTATTAAGAGTTGCGTGAGCTGGACCGATTTAAAAATATCTCCGAAAATGGAGTTTTTTATGAATAAAATTAGATTCTTAGAGTTTTTTTTTAATGCCATCAAATGACAAAACGGTTTAACTTAAAAAATGTGCATAAAATTTTTTTTAAAAAATCAAAAAGAAATTTGAACGGAATCGTAATGAGATTTTTTCAAAGATTGGTATAAGAAAAACTTCAATAACTGAACCTAAACTCTTCCGATTTAGACTTGTGAGCAGGGGCCCATAATGACAATTATTTCATCCTGGAAGTCGTCCAAATTTTCGTAAGAATTATAAAAGTCTTTTGATAAGAATTATGTGTGAGTTAATTTTTTAAGTCATCGAGAAGTATTATTTTAAGACTTATATAAGAGAAGTCTTTTCATAATAATTATCAGCGAGATAAATATTTTTAATTCTTCAAAAACGTTTATTTTGAGACTTATATTATAAAAGTCTTGACATAATAATTATGATTGAGATAAATATTTTTAAGTCTTTAAAGACTTTTATTTGAGACTTATATTATAAAAGTCTTTTGATAATAATTATGATTGAGATAAATATTTTTAAGTCTTCAAAGACTTTTATTTGAGACTTATATTATAAAAATTGCGAAAAAATTGTGTATATAGTCCCGAACGGGCCTCAAACCAAGCCACAACTGGCCCTAACTACTCCCCATCTAACCCCGAACTGTTCCCCAACAAATCCTGAAATGCTCCTGAACAAGTCCCGTCTTTTAAGACTTAAAAAATTTTTTCGCGCTCATAATTATTATACTTGGCGATGCAGTCTAATATGCATAGGTATGTAACATGCATGTTCGGGATTTCTAATGCTTGTTTAAATATTTGCTTGTTTTTTTTCTAACAGTTTTTGTTTTTTTTTTGCTACTATCCAGCAATTAAATTTGCATTTAGTCATTCCAAATGTACGAACGCCGCCCAATTCGCGCCAGATGACACATGTTTTTGTGTGCGCATTTCCAAAATTTTTTTATATATTTGCGCATGTCGCAATTGCATTAGAATTTATTTGTGAAATTCTTGAGATTTCGGGTATTAAAATGTTATGCACAAACGAGTATGTATTTACAT